GTGTTGAATCGAGACCCGCGTAGCTGCGGGCTCACACCAAGCCCTGTGCCAGTCACTGCCGTGGCATACCCCAGGGGTATTAATACTCCCTTGTTTTCCACTGAGAGCGGCCAGTCAGCGTTTGTAGCGTCGCCAATACTCATTCCTGCCGCGTTACATACGTATCTGCACAGAGGGCTTGGTCTAGCAGAGCACCCTGACGACGTTCCAGAGTTAATAGCTCCACAGTCCAGTTAATAGCTCCACAGTCCAGTCCTGTGTCACAGCACGTAGGGTTTGGGCACCGAGGTGCCACGTGAGCGCCCCAGGAAAGAGCAGCGGCCGTATTCCCCCGTATCCTGAGCACTCGTCCAGAGCTCCCATTTCGACCCTGCTCAAAGATGCCGCAAGTTTGAAGAGCGCCCCAGCCATCAGAGACCCCGCCGAGGGCAATGTGAAGCCCTTGGTTAAGGTTAACACACAATAAGGTTAAGCTTATTTTGAGGGTGAGTTGGCTGCAGGTCACATTTTCATTGAAATTTGTAATCAAAAATAGCCAAGCATTAAACACAGAAGAAATATCTTTAAAACATGGTGCCTTCTGTGCCGTTTGCTTCATGCGCCCTGGTGCTGGGTGGGCTCCCGCTGTGCATCTTGACACGGTGCTTTTCCTCCCCCAACCGGGAGCCACATCCATGGTCTGGTGGCTGCCGGGGCCAAGCGTGTCACGTCCCCGCGGACTTGGTCCCCGTGGGCCGCTGGCGGCTTCGCGCGGGCCCTGGACGTTAGAGGGAGCTCCAGGCTGCTGCACGCGCCGGCGCGGCCTGCGGAGTCGGGCGCAGCCTGCGGAATCGGGTGATTTCCCGCAGCCGGGTCAGCCTTTCCCAGGGCAGACAGGCCTGCAGGTCCCCACAGCTCCGTGAGGGCCGGGAAAAGCCATGGCCAGGGGCTGGCCCGGCGCCGGGAGATGTGTAAATGTCCATCCAGCGGCTGCCGGCGGGGACAGAGGTGGAGGAGGACAAAGCCTCTCTCCTGCTCCATCCCCCTTCCAAATCCCAGAAAATCCAAGGCTGGACCATCCTCAAGGAATGATGATTTCAAGGGTCAGCGCCTCTCCCTTCTCCAGCATGGAAGGATGGGGCCTGTCCTGGGAGTCAGACGGTCCCTCCTCTCCAACTGCATTCGGAGCCCTTGGACTCCAAGCGCCCGGCACCTCTGTCCGTTCCGGTGCTCTGCCCGTGGGACGGCCGCGTCGCGGCTCGGCACACAGCTCCCGTTCATCCACCAGCTGGTTCCTGTCATCACTGCGGATGGGACAAGGTGTTCGCTCCGGCCTCCCAAGACCCGAGCACTAACGATGGCCGCGACGTTTTCCAGCAGAGACACGATCCAGCACCGCTATGTGGGAGACTTTTAATATTGCAGAAATCAATCTGAGCACAAACTCTCCTAAAAATGGTAAAGCTCTGTTATCCCGGGATGTGATAGCCAAAGGATTTCTTTGTGAATCCAGCACTCGGCAAAAGGCAGCGCTATTTTTGGCTGCGTTTTGATAAGGAATCAGAAGACGATAGAAACCCCAACGGCAGCAACAGTGCTGGGTGGAGGAGCCAGCGCGAGCCCATGGGCAAAGGCTGCTCCAGTGCGGGGCTGGGAATAAAGTTGATGGCTGCACAAGGACGAGCTGCAGGGGGATGGCTGGAACCAGTGCAGTGGGAGAGCTCGACAGCAGAGGACATTGGAAATACATTAACAACAACAAAAAAAAAAACAAACAAACAAACAAAAAAACTATTTGGATTATATATCCCAAGCAAAGGAGTATTGAGCCGGACTAACATAGCTGAGCAACTCATTCTGAAAGGGGTTAATTTAAGAATAAAACCGACTTTCTGGAGGAGCGGGGCGGGCACATTAGGTGTTTGCATGTGTGTGGGGGGAAGAGCTTTGCCAAACCTGATGCGTTTAGGAATCAGCTTTCGGTTAGAGCGTCCGGGGGCTGCCAGCCCCACGTTGCCGCGGTGGGGAAGAGCCGTGGAGGCCGAGAGGGGACACGTTCCTCCAGCCAGGCTGCTCCGGCCCCAGAGCTTGTCCCAGCTAGCGCGAAGGCGCCGTCCCCGCTCGGAGGCCGGCGAGGCCCACGTGAGGCCGTGCCAACACACTGAGACTTTTCTCCTCCGTTTTCCTGGACACTGTGACCTGGAGAGGGTTAAACACTTGGTCCTCAAGACAGAGATGGTGCCGAGGTAGACAATGTGTATAGCCACAAACTGTCCCCAAAATGGCACCCAGAGAAATAGCGTCAAACCAGTTTGCCTGGTTGGCTGCAGGGGAGCTGGGAGTCACCGCGGCCTTCGCGTCGCCTCCTTCCTTCCCCTCCCCTGCCCTGTTTTCCAAGCATGGGGAGGACAAGGAAACGTTTCAGCGGCTGCAGCCCTTCCCTCCCCTTGGCCAAAGGGCCTTGGGGGCTTCCCTGGGCTTTTAGGAGAGGAGTTTGGGGCTGAGCGGCCTGTGGGTAGAAACGGTTTGTTTGCTGCTTTCCCGAGGAGCCATCGATGAATCGAGACGTTGGGTCTTTACCCAGATACCTGCAGAGCCGGGTTTATTCTCCCAAAATGCTGACGATGCTTCAGCCGCCCGCTCCCCCGTCGAGCTCACACGTCACAGCCATTCCCACCGGAGCCACCAGCTCCACAGCAGCCTGAAAGCTGGAGAAGCCGCAGGGGCACCCAAAGCTGCTCCGTGTCCCGTGTCCCCGGCTCGCCCCGGCCCTGCACGCAGCGTTTTTGCAGCATGCGTCGCTCCGGGCTTATTCCTGTCTCTGGCAGGAGAGCCTATTTCGGGATGATGCTCAAGCGGGTTATTTTAACTCAGCGTGGCTCTATTTTCGGAGCTGCCCTTCTCGGCACGTGCTGCCAAAGGTTTCCGAGCAGCAGGCGGTGGAGCCGGGGAAAGGGAGAGCGACCGGAGGGAGAAATTTCCGCAAAAAGATGCCAAACTAACACCAGCGTCAGCGGCCAAGCCTGGGATACGGGTGACCTTTCTGGTGATGACAGGAGGAGAGTTTGTGGGATGGAGCATGAGCAAAGGGTGGGAGAGGAAGAGTTTCAGGAGCTGTGATTCAAGCGCAGGTGAGACAACACGCAGGGAAGGAGAACCGGCTTTGGGAGAGCGGGCTGCGCAAAGGGGGAACATGCGGAAAGGGAGGCGGCCGGCAGGACGCTGCTGAAGCATCCGGGATCGCCGGGATGAGCCCGGCGGCTCCGGGCACAGCAGGGAGCAGCTGCTGCTCTCAGGGCAGCCAGGCACCATCCCGCAGGTCCTCTCCCTCTGGAGAGGCCTCGGGCTTGCTGGACACAGGGCTGCAATGGAGCAGGATGGGTCTCGGGCCGATCCCAGCTCAGGGCTTCACTGGAACCCCCCTTTTTTTCCCCAGGCAAGAACACACTCGAAAAATAAAATTGCATTAAATAATTGAAAGCAGTTCTTCCCAGGCCAGAGCACAGAAAAACCCGGGCTCCTGCAGCCCTTCCCCAGCTCCCTCTCTGCTCCAGCCCTGCAAGACCCCCAGTGCCCTTCAAAGCGTTTATTTATACGATGCCCTCAAAGTGCAAGTGCTCAATAACCCCCAGCCCCGGGCAGCGGCGCTGCCGCCTCCCAGATCGGGCATCCGGCCCCCGAGAAGGGACATGGGGACAGAGCCGCCACCAGCTCCCGCCTGGGGCTGGCAGAGCCGGCCGGACCTGTCCCAAAGAGCCGCTCCTGCAACTGGGGCTCCATCCCCACATCACGTCCCGGGAAGAGCATCGCTCCCGCGGGCGCTTCCCAGCCTCCTCCCAGGACACGGGCATCCCCCTCCCGCCCGAGCAGGACAGGCTGGCGCAAGGCAGACACCGGGAGCCGCCTTGTCGCGTAGGTCTCCACGCCTTTTTATTAAATTCTTACAAAACAGAATACAAAATTCTGGCATCAACAATTGTTATAAAGGAAAAAAAAAAAAAAAAAAAAGCATTTAAGTTGCAGAAAGTTTGTCTGCTATACAGACACCTAAAAATAAGTTTTACTGTAGGGCAGCCATTGATCTCAAAATAGCATAGAAGATGTATTTAATTAGCCTCTAAATACAAAATAAGAAGGGATATTATTACTGGAAACAACTGGAAGATCGTGCTGTAGCACTGCCAACGTACAGAAAAAAAAAAAAGAAACACACACACACAAAAATTAGCTTCACAGTAAAAGTTTCTAACCATCCTAAGCTGAGTTAGTCGGACAAAGGAGGGAGTTGGGGAAGCCAAAATGCTTAACTTCTCAGCTTAAAATAAAAAGAAAAAAAAAATAAGGTGGTTTCCAGGACAGATGCTCCTGGGGGCAAGAGCACGAGGAAGGTGAGGGGCTGCAGCGGGGAACATCCCGTGGGACACGTCGCCCCGGCCCGCCAAACCTGGCCAAAAAAAAGGCCCGACTCAGCAGAACGGGGCCCAAGCAGCACCCAAAAAAGCTCCCGCCACGTTTTGGGTGCTGGGGGGAGGGCCTCACACCTCACCGAGGTCCCCCCGCCATCCTCTCCCCACCTCGGGTCGGTTTTTTTAAACAAAAAGGAAATCGAGGGCTGCGGGCGCAGCATTAACGACAGCTTCCACAACACCAGCTCAAGGCATCGCGCACTGTGCATCATTCAAGTATTTCTTAATATAAGACAACCAGGAATTATCTACAACTGATAAAACAGAAGAAGCTGTATAAAAAGTAACAACGTACAATCGAGATGGATGTTTTTCCCCCCTCCTATTCCTCCCGGGGGGCTGGCGAGGGGCAGGTGCCCAGCGCTGCCCCCCGGTGAGGAGGGAAGGGCCGGAGCCAGGGGGACTCTGGGGGGAGCCATGGGCCCCCCCAATCGGCATCTCCCGCACGCACCGCCCTGCAACAAAACAACGGCGAAAAAGGAAAAAAGAAAAAAAAGAAAGAAAAGCCCCAACAACGGATATTGCATAGTATTGCTGTCAGCAGTCTTAAAATAAAACGGAGAACTTTATTGGGAGGCGCCGCTGGACTGACCCCCCACGCACCCGGGGGCTCTTCCCGGCTCCCCCCGGCCCCGGCGGGAAGCTGCTTATCCGAAACACCAAGCTCGAGGCAGCGAGCGCCAAAGGGAGCTGGACAAGGAGCCGGGGGGCAGCTCCCCTTGTCGTGGGGGC